AGAGAGAGAGAGAGAGAGAGGATAGCTAAGATAATTGCACTACTAATTTCTATTGGTTTGTTGGAAGGAACAGCTAATGCTTTATTTTTTGACCAATTTTGCATGTTTCTATCTGGTAATCTGAACTACTGTGAAGACAACAATACACACTATAGCAACCATTGTTGAATTCCTATTGTTTTTAAAAATTCTGTATTGTTTCTAATTTTTTAATTTTTTATTCTCTTTAAATTTTAAAAAACAAAAAAAAAGTAATCTGACGTTAGAGAAAAAGAGAGGCATTTTTTTCCTGAGCATCTTTATAGACACCATTCTATGGAATGGAATTTGTCTGTTCCACAGTTCCAACAGTGAAGTAATGAATTTCACAGTGAGAACTGGGGGAATGAGCAAAAGGAAAAAAAAAAAACAGAACGAAGGGGAGTCTTGGAAGAGTCACAGGTGGCTGTGTGAGATCAGAACAGGTGAGACTGATGAGCTAATTAGAGAACATTTTCCTCACTCTCTAACCAAGCCCTAAGCATGGCCACTGGACAATTTTAAAGTTATTTTGTGCTTTTCTTTGAAAGAATGGTAATTCTCTCATCCAACAGATTCAGAAGATGAAATAATAGCCAAACTTGTTGAGATACTGAAATATTCTGGGGACCAGTTGGAAAAACAGGTATGAACCCTCGTGAACCAACATTTTTTCCTCTGTCCCCATTCTGTTCTAGCACATCACAACGGAACTGTACTCCAGGTTGTAGCCTTAATGCTTTCCAAAGTTCTGGTTTCCACTTAGTCCTGAGTTTTATTTCCCTTGGAGTCTACGCTCTCCATGCTGGCAAAATCTTGAAAATGAATCACTTTGGAAAACATAAGTAAACCTTGTGGAGCCTCTTTGGAATTTTTGGAAACTATAAAAGTAACTATGTTATTGTAAGAAAAGACGCCAGTAAATTAAAATTTGCTGAATAGGATTATTAATCTTGCTCCCCACATAACTGATCGTCAGTGAAGTTTAGAGTCTTGCATTTGCCCTGCAGGCTAGATATCTGCATCTCTCAGAAGCTGGAGTCCTTCCTGAAACCTCCCTTTAGTTGCTGGACTACTGGTGGGTTCGTGTCACTTGCAGGTCTTGTGGACTCCCTGCCACTTAGAAGGGGAGATCCAGCCTTGGAATCCAGGATGTACAGGAGCTGTCCATAAGCACAAACCTGAGGAGCAAGACTCTAGTGTAGTGGGCTTCTCTTGTGAAAGCCATCACTTCTTTTGTTTTGTTTTGGCTTTTGTTTTTTGGACCTAATCCAGGGCTTCCAGCTTGCTAGGCAAGCATTCTACTGCTGAGCCAAATCCCCAGCCCCAAGAAAGCCATCACTTCTGTATCCAGTGTAGACTATAGCAGCATCGCTGGGGGTTCTCAGTCAGGATCTAGCCTGGGGGCCTTTGTCTTTGTTTTGGTCAGAATCTATGGGGAAAAACTCCAGCCCCAGGGGCCTCATGAGCACATGCAAACAGCAGGAGCTGGCAGGCCACCCCGCCTGGTCACAGCATGCTCCTGGCTCCTCCATCAGTGTCTTCAGCTGAAGTACTCTCAGAGAACCGTGACCAGGAGAAGGGCCAGGGAGAAAAGGGAGAGTGAAAACCAGGGACACTGGGGTAAAGGAAAGAGAAGAGAATGTTGTGAGCTTTTGGGCCACGAATGGAGAGTGGGAGGGGTGCGGGGGAAGCAGGAAATAGAAAACAACATGTTATTTTAGGACAGTCTGGCATTTCTCCAGAACTAGCGCCATGGATATAGTAGTTAAGGGCAATTGATTTTTCCCCTGCTAAGAATGAACTTCCTGGCACTCGGGGCCACCCATGAGGGTCAAAGGCTGCCTTGTGAAAGAGAGGAATCTGTCTTCCTGTCACTAGAATCACAAATAGATACAAACAGTGAGTCAGCAGTTCAGGACCCAAACTGGGAGTGTGGGTGTGTGTGGTGGTGTCCTTTAGGAGTGGCTTCAAATGCTCTGTACAACGCGGAGGGCCTGTGGCTCTCATGACCACCTCGTTCCTGGCATCCCTAGGCAGTGACTTGCAGTGGCCAAGTAGAGGTCGGGGAGGCCAGGCCCCCGGGGGTGGTGAGAAGGTGACCTCTCTGGTCACAATGGGTGACCTCACAGATCATCACTCTCAGAACCCTCACTTTGCCGGATGCTCTCACTTGATGGTTTTCAGTGGTATTTTCCATTATTTCTTTAGCAATTTTGCTCATAATTCCTTGTACGTTTGCCCAATAGAACACGCTGGTAGAACACACAGTAGATGTGACCTGCTTGAGTTCCCACTGCATGGTGGAAAAATAACTCCCTCGTAGCAGGGCAACTGTGAAGCCACCGTGTGAGTGGGTGAGCAGCCTGGGAGGCCTGTTTTGAGGACCTCCCCAGGGGCCAGAGAGCAGGAGCCACTCAAAGGGACAACCAGGTCCGAGGGATAGGGTGGTGCTCTGCACAAGGCATTTCTCTCTGGCTTGACTCTTTTAGTGTTCTGGCAGATGCCACACTTCCAGCTGCCTAAGTTTGAGCTTAGCTTATGCAATTGGGCCACTGATGAAGTCTTTTTGTTTTGTTCTGTGGTTCTGGGTGTTGTACCCAGAGCCCTGCACATGCTAGCAGACGTTTTCCCACTGAGCTGCATCCTTGGCTGGAAGAGTCCTCTCTTGATGTGGAGGAAGCTGGTCAGACCTCAGATTTATAGCTCAGATGAAAGGCTAGGCCAGTGGAAGTTGGGAGGTAGGTTTGGTTCACACAAAGAACACTGTTCCCCACAAAATCCTCACACAGCAACTCATTTGTCCTCCAAAGATGGCTGTTAGAAACAATACTTGTGGAAAACCTGCTTAACTTCAAGAACAGAACTAGAATTCTTTTATGTGTTTTATTTTCAGTGCTAGGGATCGAACCCAGGACCTTGCACATGCTAAGCAAGTGCCCTACCATTGAGACACCACCTCAGCTCCCTCGGAGATTTCAAATAAGCATTTAGTCTCTGCCTACTAAGACAACTGTTTTCACATGACAGCCATCATATTAACAGACATTACAAGGATGTCTCTGAATGAAGATGATGAGGTTTTATGGCATATGCTCTGGGTTTTCCAGAGATGCAGAGACATAGTAGGTTTTGTTTTTCTCAAGGTAATATATAGCAGTGCAAAGCAGGTAAAGCAGAAAGATGGCAGGTTCAAGAGTAGGAGGGAGGTAAAATCAGCTGTGTAGAATAATGAAAAAGGAATAAGTAAGCATGATTCTGTAGTGAACATATCTACCTCAGCGAGTCTTCCAGGACACACCTATGTTCCCACAAAGTCCTGAGAACTGTGTTCCCCATGTCAGGCACTACTCTAACTGCCTTATTCAGTTACCGTATGCCATAGGTACTATCACCATTAGAATTCAGAGATGACAAATTAAATGCAAGAGTATAGTAATTCCCCCATGATTGCATAGTGAAGAGCTGGGGCATTGGCTCTCTTGCTTCGGATCTGGGCATGACTCTTACCAGTAGCTGAACACTTAGTGCTGTTCTGCAATTGTAGGAGACTGTTGTCCCTTTGAGTGAGGACCTGAGTCTTCACCATCCACAGTGTCTATCCACAGTTAAGTGCTTGGCAAGTACTTGTTGAATGTTGGGTGAATTGTATCATTTTCCTGATGGAATGAACTCACAAGAAAGATACATGCTTTAGTCGGTCCTGTAGGATATTGTGTCATGGTTCAGACTAGAACCCAGGGTATTTTCTACTGGGTGCTTTACCAGCCCACATTTGAGAGGCTTTCTGTGTGCTTCAGTGGCCCAGGCTGTTCTACTGAATGCTTCTCCTCTCATACACAGTTGAAGAAAGACAAGGACTTGATGAGCAGCTTCAAGGATGGGCTGTCCTACCCTGTTTTCAAGACCATCACCGACCAGTTCCTAAAGTGTGTCGACACCAGAGGAGAATCAGAAGCCAAAGCCCAAGGCTTCAAAGCTGCCCTTGCAATAGATGCCATGGCCAAGCTCACAGCTATTGACAACCACCCAATGAACAGGGTTCTGGGCTTTGGAGCCAAGTACCTGAAAGAGAACTTCTCATCCTGGGTCCAACAGCATGGTGGATGGGTAAGTGTATCCTATTTAAAAACAAATTCTCTCTAAACTTAAAAGAGTTGGGATGGGGAGGGTTTTTTCCCTCTTCTTTTTAAATATTTTTTTAGTAAAAGGATCACATCTGTGAAGCAGTTCTCATGGGTTTATGACACTGGAGTGGCAAGAGATCTATCCCGTTGATGGGAACATACTTTCAGTGATTATCTTCATCATGTATAAGTATTTACTGAGCTCCTTCAGGGTATGTGAGGCAGAGAGACTGGTCAGATGTAGCAGGAAATGAGATTCAGAGATATAAAATGTCGACAGAGATGTAACTTCTGTTTTCACAAATTCTGTAGGCAGCAGAAATCTGTTGGTGACACAGGGCAGGGAGGCCATTCCTCACATTCCAGGTTACTGACAGGGTGTGGGGCTGGTCCTTATAAAGAGATTCATGGGGCTGGGGAGATAGCAGTCTAAGCGCCTGCCTGGCAAGTGCAAAGACCCGGGTTCAATCCCTGGCACGGAATGCCATGCCAGCCAATGAGACTGGGTGTGGTGGCCCATACCTGTAATCCCAGAGCTGGGGAGGCTGAGCAGGAGGATCACAATGAGTCAGATCTCCATAGTGAGCCCAATAGTTAATTAATTAATTAAGGAGATTCAGGGTTTGGCACTGGGGATGTAGCTCAGCAGCCCTGAGTTTAATTTCCTGAACCCCCCGCCCCAAAAAAAGATAGAGGATTCTGGGTTCAAGACACACTGTCATTGCTGCTTTGACCCAGTCATTCTGACAGGGCTGTTTTGATACAAACTACAAAGCAAACAGTTAACTTTTCACCTGTTTCAAATTACTTGGTATCAGTCAAAACATCCTTTTCTCCTTATGCCTCAGGCTCAACCCCGCTCCTATTTTTTATCCCCATTCCCTGACTCAAAACTGCCATATTTGAGTGGCTACACGAAGCCAAGTGTCAGAATGCAGTACCCTAGAACTCAAATTTCCTAAGGCCTAGGATACTCTGGGAAGGACAGGCTTTCCCCGGCCTTATCCTTTAGTCACCTTTCCACAAAATGATCCAGGAGCTAGCGGGAGGCGTGAGCTGGCTCTAGACAAGACTGCAGTGACCTGGGGACTGCAAACAGACTTGGTTGCTTGGATGTCAGGAAGCAAGTGTGGCTACCTTGCCCACGGCTGCAGTGCCTGCTGTGGTCTTCAGTGGCTGCCCACTCTTCTGTGTTCCACCTTCACACCAGGTGTAATCATCTTTAACTGGCTGATTGGAGCCGTAAGTATTCTAAATGTAAGCTGCTCTAACACATCCTAAAAGGAGAACAGATTCCTTTGATATTATTTCACTTTCCCCAGTCTTCTTCCTAGATTGCCTTCCTAGGTTTTCTGACCCCTCCAGCTGTGGCCTTTCCATGTTTGTCCCATAGTAATGTACAGGATCAAATTCCAATGGATGGCATTATACATGTTCATTTAAAAATGTTATTGGGCTTATTAGCATATTTTCCTGCAGAAATGATAAATATCAATTAGGTTCTTGGGCCAGCTCTCGAATCTATTTAATCTGAAATGTCATAAAGGCTCTATTTAAAAACAAAGGGCCGGCCATTTAGTTCAGCAGACTAAAGCACCTGCTTAGGCAGAGCACAGCAACCTTGAAGTTTCTCCTCAATCCCTTGTGTGCCCTGCCAGCCCCACCCCCGGGAGGCCCTGAGACAGGGATTGAGACTGGGCATGGAGGTTCATGCCTAAAATCCCAGCACTTGGGAGACTGAAAACAGGAGGATCACTATGAGTCCAATCTGTGTAGTGAGACCCTGTAGACCCTGTACTAAATACTTTTTAAAAAAAAGAATGATATAGTGGTTTTACATCAAAGCACAAACAGCAAAAGAAAAAAATAGAGAACTTGGACTTCAGTTTTGTTCTTTAAAGGATACAACTATCAAGAAAATAGGAAAATGGTCACAGGGGTAGCTCAGTGGTAGAGCATGTGCCTAGCATGCCTTAGGTCCTGGGTTCAAGTCCCAGCACAGAAGGATAAAAGAAACACAATGAAAAATTGTAAATCATGTATTTAGTGAATGATTTATATTCAGAAAATGCAGTGAAACCTTATAGCTCCATAATAAAAAATGAATCTATTTTTTAAAAGTGGGCAATGGTTTTGCACAGACATTTCTCCAAAGATAGATAAATGGCCAGTAAGAGCATTTCAAAATATGCTTTCTACCCTAATTTCAATAGCAGGGAACTCTGGGCACAGTGGCACACTACTACATTACACTAGTAATGCTTGCTATTTGGGAAACTGAGGAAGCAGGATCACAAGTTGGAGGCCACCCTGGGTGACTCAGTGAGACACTGGCTCAAAATGAAAAATAAAAAGGGCTAGGGATACAGCTCAGTGGTAGAGTGCCACTAGGTTTGATCCTCAGTACTGACAAAAAAGATAGAGAACTGTTAAAATCATGATGAGTTCTACACACTGAGACGATTAAGATACTTGCTGGTGGATAGCAGAAGGAACTGGAATCCTCATCTTCATATGTTGCTGGCTGGGCTGTAAGATGATGCAGTCCCTTTGGAGAACAATTGGTAAAGCCTGATACATTTATGAACCTTAAAAACACGATGCTAAGGAAGTCAGACAAAAAGGACAGATGTTGTATGAACCCACTTGTATGAAGTGTCCAGGACAGGCAAATTCCAAGAAGTAGTAGATTAGTGGTTGCCAGGGGAGAGAGTGTGAGGGACTAATAGATGCAAAGTTTCATTTTGGAGAATGGAAATGTTCTAAAATCAGAGGTGATGGTTTTACAACTGTGACTATACTAAAGCCAGTCAATTATGAATGTTAGAGGGTAAAGTTTATGATATAATTAAAGTTCAGTGTATATATAGATAATGATTCTAGTTCTATCTATTTAAATAAGGTGGACAAAAGAAAATCCTAACATGCTGGTTATTTTAATTTGGTTGCTGGTGTGATAGAGATAACCAGATCCACTTAAGAGAAAATAGACGAATTCGTCAGGAGAAATATGAAAGGGGATTTTTCAAAGACTTTAGACATTGGTGGTACTAGTTCTTTATGCTCAATCCAAATTGCATCATCTATCTGGGATACCATAAACCTGGATCTTAACTCCTGGCCACTGTTAGGTTCCATTTGGAGCATATAAGTAGAAACTAGGAGAGAAGAAACACTATGTGAGAGGAAGGTCCAATTTTTCCAAAATGATAGGACAAGGGCAGGGGAGATAGCTCAGTGGAATAAGTGCTTGCCTGGTAAGCACGAGGTCCTGAGTTCAAAATGATGGGACAGGAAAGGAGGGATTTTCACTGGCCTCTTGGTCTATCTTGGGTTCTGTGTGGTGTCTCTGTAATAGTGTGGAAGGAGGGGAAATGTCCTGAGTGGAAGCTTGTCAGAGACTCAGTGTCCTGAACTAGCTCAGTATTCCACATTTTCCAGGCGTGCATCTAATACTCTCAAGCACAAATAAATCTACAAAGGCAGGGCAGTGTATCTTATGCCTCTGCTATCTTCCACATCACTTTATATGCATCACAGACGTTCAGCTAATACTTGTGAAATAGCGAATCAACCAAATGTCTGAATAGCCACCGTCTCCAAAGTGTGCTCATACAGGTCCTGTGAAGTTCTGAGTTGCTCCTAGGCTTTGTCCCTCACGGTGCAACACTGTTCCCATAGTTGCCCCACGGTCCTGCAACCTCCACCCAGTCAGCAACTTGTCAGTACCCACTTTTTCGAATTTTGAATACAGCCTCAAAGTCTTCCTTCCCATCTTAAAGATCCAGCCTGTTAGTCCTGGATGTGTAACATAAAACCTTCACTAATGTTTTCCTTGCAGGCATACCAAGGATGCCAGGCACCTTTCCAATTCCTTCCCCAGCCCTAATGCACAATCTTGAGCCTCAGGTCAGGCCTGGGATAAGAGCAGAGCTAACAGACATATGTTTTCACTTCAACAGTGAATCCAACTTGGAATTTTAAAAATTTATTTCTCTTCTCCCCCTCTAGGAAAAAATACTCGGGATATCACTTGAAGAAGTAGACTGAAATATCATCTGGAATATGTATCGTTCAGTGGTTATTCTATGTACGTGGGTCTCAGCACAGGCCGGGAGAGAACATTCAGAGGTGCAAGACAGATGGAGCTCTGAGGTCATTACTCCTGTGACTCAAGCAGCATCAGGAGAAGCCTTGCTGTCTCCAGCACAGGGGACACAGTAGCACCGTTTTTTTTTTCAGGTCCTCCACTGAGTGTGTGAAGCAGCCTACGATGATTAGTGGTAATTTTGCTTTCAAATGTTCAAACAGAAACCATCCTCCTGCCTCTGTTGGCTATGTTAGAGAAAGTGTATTCCCTATGTCTGTTGACCTCATGAGGGTGAAATGATAAACAGCTTGTGCTTACTGTTTTAGTTTCTAGGACTATTTTTAAAATACTTTGGACAGCCTAATAATGACGTTTTTAGCCTCCCCTTAGGAATATATTGCTATGTATGTCAGTAGACATAGCCTAACGAAACTCTGAAGTCCATTGTTATATCCACTAGTTTGGGAAGTTATAGTTGTGCATGTCTTTTTGACCCATTTTGTTGTTCACAGTTTGAAAAACATCCATTTGGCACAAAAACCAGAGTGCTCATCACCTCCACTTTCTCCTGCATGACTCGCCTCACTTCACAAGGTCTCTGGGACTTCCTTCATTGTTCTTTGTGGTGGTGTAATGATGGGTAGCCGGAAAAATAAATGCACTGAAGCACTCCTGTTAAGACAGTAATATTCTGGTTAAGATGAATAGTAAGTAGTAGTACTAGGGTTTCTCTGGGGATTGATTAATTTACATGAAGTACTCAGAACACTGCTTGGTACCCAGTGTTAAGTGGCTGCTTCTGTGACCTGGTATGTGCTGTTCTCAGCTAAGCTGAACACTTGCTCTCCAAGTAGCGACTGATTGCTGTCTGAAATGGATACTATGGGGGCCGGGAAGGTGGCTCAGTAGAATAAACACTTCCCTGAAATGGATGCTATTCAGAACGAGGTTTTAGTAAGAATACGTTCTACAGAGTTTAATGCATATTTTAAAAAATAATATCAAAGTGTAGACTTCCACTCCTCTCTGGATTTCTAGCATTCAACATGTAGCCCAACATAAAATAGGTGCTTAATAAACCTTTGATGAACAAATAAATGAAGAAGCCATTTAAATATATTCTCAGGCTCAAGGGAAACTTGGACCTATCATAAAATGTTCCATCAGCCGACCTATCACAATGCCCTATTTTTTCTTTTCCCCCTTGAAAATTGTCAATGTCAGCCTCTGTTTGCAGAGAGACACTGAAGACCCCTCCTCGTCCTAGTTTTGATCCAACCATTCAAAATCATTTGCAGTTCCCAAATGTATTCTCCCTACTTGGAATGTTCCTGCCGGCCAGCCTCCTTTCCCCTCATTCCCACTAATCCAAATAACTGCAGCCCATCTTTGTAAATTTACTCTTCATTTCCACCATGAATCACTTACTAACTTTCCCTCAGCCATCTTGGGGCTATATTTGGATTCATTTCCTTGTAAGGATGTTCCAAAACACTCTGTATATAAGCATTATCCTTAATGCATTATAGCATAAAAAACTGATTTAGTCTTTGCTTTGTAAGCTCTCCTGTAACCAAGCATTATATCTAGTTTAATTTTGTATCTCTAATGCCAGGCCTGTTTCTGACACACAACTGCAGAGCCATACCCTAGCCTCACAGCCATAGCTTGTAAATCAGTGTGACCAGAGTACAGGTCGAGATGCATGGAGCCATAACAAGCTCTCCAAGTGCTTCCAAAATCATGGGCAGCTTCTAGTCAAGACAGAGTGCCAGCAACTGGATTTAATATTCTTGAAACAACTATTAGAATAAGAGACAAATTTCAAGCATTCAGTATTAGGTAATGAAGAACTGTTCCTGCAGAAATGAGGAACGTGAGCCCATGATTGCTCTAGAATATTGCATGTACAGAGTTTCCAGACCTGCTGGGGCGAGGGGACTCACACAGTGCTCAGTCATCTCCCTGAGTAGAGCAGGAGAAACTGATGGGCCAGGAAGGCTGCAGAACAAGAGAGAAGAGTGGCACATGAAGCTCCAGAGATCTGTGACCAGCTCCTCAAGGCTTCAGATGTGTACTGGTAACAAATGTGTATGATGAAAAGAAGCAAGGCTTTGGCAAGAACCACATGAAAATATTACAAGGGACCTGGGGATTTAGCTCAGTGGCACAAACACCTGTCTGGCAAGCACAAGGTCCTGAGTTCAATTTCTGGCAAAAAAAAAAAAAAAAGAACATTCTCCAGAGCTTATACAAACCCAGCAGTAGTGTCTTATTTCAGCAGTAGATTGGAAATTCAAAACAATTTCTCCTTAGAAGTAGGGGAAATTAGGCTAAACTTTTTCGGTCTTGCTCAGCAGAGTTGAATATCCCTAAAAGTACTAACTTTATTAAGTAATTCAGTTTTGCTCCAGAACAAAAGCAGTAAGTTTTCTCAGATTACCAAAATACCCAATACCCAACTTTTGTCTGGCATACCAAAAAGAAAAAGGTAAGGCATACAATAAAAATTTATGAGCATGTAAAGAAGTAACACAACTCATAGAATTCTTGCAGAATGGAAGATGTGGAGCACACATGATTTATAACTGTGGCTCAACACTGTAGAGCCAAAATCTGTAATATTTGGGATGAAAATACACTGGGTTCACAGATTAGACATAGTAGAAGAACAGATAGGTAAACTTGAAATAACAATAGATCCAAAGTTATAAAAAATCATAACTTCTAATGGCTTAATTTTTTTGTAAATGGAGTGAAGATTTTCCAGATTTGATGAAGAGGATAAACCCACAGAATCAAGAAAAATCAGTGACTGCCAACCACGCAAACACACACACACGCAGAAAAAAATGTAGAAGACACCAATGCACACCATAAATTGCTTAAAACCACTAATAGAAAACAAACCAACCAACCAAAACCCTTAGCCAAAAGGCATATTACACAGAAAAACAAATATTAAAAATGACATCAAACTTCTTGGGAAACTATGTGAGAGAAAAAGTGTTATCTCTTAAGTATTAAAACTATAAACATAATCCTATGCCCACAGAAAAAAGATGACTTTAAAAATATAGAACTTTTTGTTGTTTTGTTTTTTAGCGGAACCAGGGATTGAGCTCAGGCCCTTGTGCTTGCGAGAGAAGTACTTATTCCACTGAGCCATTTCCCTGGCTAGAATAGAACTTTTTGAGATACACAAAACTTAAGATAATTCCTAACCAGGGTCAGGGAGATGGTTTAATGAAGTAAGTGCTTCCCTGACAAATGCAAGGGTCTGAGTTCAATCAATCCCAGGTTCCACAAAAAAAAAAAAAAAAAAGAAAGAAAGAAAGAAAGAAAGGTAATTCCTAACCAACATACCTAGACTACAATAAATATTAAAGGTAGAAGTCAAATACACCAAACAGAAATATTTATCTATAGAGGAAAGGGAAAGTTCTGGAAATGATAAGTACGTGAGTAAATATATAGATTTTTTTTCTGTATTTTTTTTTTTTAGGGAAAGGTTTACAGGGTGTTCAGGGTCTCACTACTAGATCGGACAAATAGTGATTCTCCTGTTTTACAGCCTCCCAAGTGCTGGGGTTACAGGTGTGCATCACCACGTTCAGTCTCAATTGCCATCTCCGCGGGCCCTGGGGGCAGGGCCAGCACAGCAGGCGGGGGAAGACCTTTTCTTATTTAAAAATAACACTCTTTTTGTGGCACTGGACATTGAACCCAGGGCCTTTGCACTGAGCTCAGTGCCTTTTTTTTTTTTTTTCACTTTGAGACAGTCTCAGTTGCTGAGTTACCTAGGCTAGGTTCAAACTTGTGATCCTACTGTCTCAGCCTCCCAGAGTGTTGGGATTAAAGGTATGTGCCACTATGTCCAGAATGATGAATAATAATTTGTGATGGGGTTTATAAGACACACACACACGATTATATATAT